GCACCAGGGACAGGGAAACACAGTCAGCACCAAGGACAGGGAAACATGGTCAGCACCAGGGACAGGAACACAGTAAGCACCAGGGACAGGCAACTGATTGGTAAATACTAATTCTATTAGCAATGCATGACAGCTTGCATGTACTAGAGTAAAAACTGAACAGTGTCACATACTTGTGCAATCAACCAGAGTTATGGGTGTGCTGGCAATGTTGTTTCCCTCAAACGTCTCATCCAACTGTCCCTCCTGCCTGCCTGTTGGGTCGATATCCCTACTGTCAACCTATACAGGGAAACAGAAGGGATTTAATAAGCACCTAATATGCAATACTTTAAGATACAAACAGTTGAAAATAAGAAACTTGGGATTTTTGTCCTTGTCTTGTGCTGTCAATCAGCTGTCAACTTCAAAGCAGCTGAAGTTAACCATCCATTTAAGTTATTAGCTAATTAGAAAATTATAATGATGGTGCATTGATGATACATTTGTATATCCCAGGTCACGTAACAATGACAAGATAACCAAGTACAAATTCAGGACTGTTCAGTTTATGAACAGTACACTTACCACATTGCATAAAACTATAGAAAGGAGCTGGATTTTAATGTTGTAAAGCAAAACTATATAATGTATGTCCCAATACAGATAGTTCAAAGAACTGTAGGTTAAGTTTATTGTAGTAGTCTTGTATTATATTATTATGGCTGCTACGTGTATGTTTAAGAAATACTGTAACATTATTCTGCAATTTTGGCTGCAATTGTTTGTTTTTTAATAAAACCACTTCTCTCTTATTTCTCTCTAACAGTAAATCACCTTGACAATAAGATACATCTCCCTGCCACAGTATGTTGCATAGCTTTCTTGGCTGAACTGCAGGGAGCCGCCGAGATCCAGAGTCACACCATCACTCAGACCACCCTGGAGATGGGACAGTACTGATGTCTTGTCGTGGTGGATCATGGTGTCATCCATGTCCAGGGTTCTGTCATCTGCAGTACAACAAATCAGTAGAGTCAAGCGTGTTAATCAAGGCAAAAATCTCAAAAGTTGTCTTATGATTATGGTGACTTTAGAAATAAAAACTCAGTCTGTATTACATATTATATAAAATACTACAATGTTGTATTTCGTATCACGCAAGGTTCCAGCCCAACCTGTTGGAGGGCTGGGTCTGTGGGTGATAGAAAATACACCTTCAATTTTTTATACCTGACATTTCAATGCAAAAATGTGCCAGAACTTGGTATTCCCAAACAATAAATCATAACAACATCAATCCCTTGTCCAAATCTGGTGTTTGAATGTTTAAAGTCGGCACAAATGGTGCACACAAAATGCATTTGAGTTATTCTATGGAACTTTTCAAAGCCTGCGTGATAAAACCGTGTGATATCACTAATTATAACACGGGCTGGAACACACATATTGAACATTATCACAGCCCAGGTACAACATAAATTTCTAATACAGTGGGCAGATTAGTTTGATTTGATAATGATACAATGGTCCCAATATGCTACCTGATTATAATGCATCCCTGACTAATTCTAATGACTGACCTGACAGGAACAAGTCAAAGTCAAAGTTGCGCAGGTCTCCTGACACACTGGAGATGACATGGTTCTGCTCCGTCACGAGGACCTCCAACATCATGGCAAAGCCTGCTGGGTACTGGAAACTGTACTCTGCCACGCTCAGACCAAAGTTGGTGATGCTCAGGTCAATAGTTCCTGTAAGAAACCAGAAAAATACACAACTGTTACCACAAAAAAACTTTCTAAAAATGTATGACAGTGTAAGTATAGAGTACGTCGGTGAAGGTTAAATACCCACCTAGCAGGTAATAAGGTACACCAAAAACAGTTACACACAAGCAACTGGATTGATAATTTTATGTATTATACTGTTTTGTGGCATCAGTACAAAGTTGTTCCATGTCAAATGTCCATTCTTCTTATTCATCAATGAACCACCCTTCAATTATTGCATTTGAAGCATAACCGTATACTTGTCCATATATTGACCTGGATCCATGAAAATACATTTAGCCGGTATATCAACTGCTTGTTCCTTTCTGAATACTTACAAAATTTCCACAGCTATCTCTAGCATTAGAACTTCTGCCTTTATGGATTAAAAGTTTGTTTATATTAACAGTCGAAACTTTGAAAACAATTGATTAAAAATTAACTGAAAACAATGGTCCATTGTCAGGATCATGTAAATATGAAGACAATAATGAGCTCACCATCACTGACACACACAAACTCTGCCGGGACCCATTGCACATCATTTTCTGGCACAGCCGTGAAATCAAGGTCTGCCACCTCCGCACTGGACCCTCTGGACAACCGTACTCCCAGGTGTTTCAGCTGTTTGCAGGCGCTGTCAGCTGTGTCCAGTTTCAGACCTCCCTCCAGGGTGATAGCAACTGATCTGAGGTCTATAATGTAAAATATACCACAAAGTTAACATATTTACCATGACAAAAAGGGGTGTTATGGAGATCGTATTTTACATCTTTCTCATATTGGTCTACTATATTCGCCATGTTGTGACAGCATTTTCTGGCAATGTTTGAAAACTTGCACATATTTTTAACAAAGGATTTTCTTTACATATGCTTGAAAATAAATGCTTAGCTGCGCACCTTAGTAATCATAATTGACTCTCAGTAATACTAAGTCTTGTACTTCTTGATGTGTGCAGGTGAATGCTGACTCACCTGAAAAATCTGCCATCTGAGCATCCTCTGGCTTTGAAGTCATAGACCCTTCCCAGTCTAGCGCAACACTGTATGTTTCCTGGGGAAAAAGACATCAATGAAATGTGACATATGAAACCATAATAATTCAGTCAAAGAATAGAATAAAGATTTATCTATATTTTTGAAGGTGGAAAGGTGGTCTTGAGATTAGGGTAACGTTGTTGACTCAGAATTGGAACTTTGGTTCTGGATTGGAATCCCTAGCAAGCCCCATTGTTGGTCCTTTGGAAAGCCATTTAAAACCTATTTCCTCAATCTGAGTCACACTTGACTCAGGTGTATATGATTGAGTACCTAGCTTTGGTTCGGGATGTCCTCTTGGTTAGGACATAAAGCCAAAGGTCCCATGTTTAAACCCTTGGGCACCACACTTAATGAAAAGAGCAGGGGTCCTTCCCAGTGTGAGTGGTTCAAACATTACAGTCTGGTCTCAGGTTTGACATCTTGAAGAGGTGATATTCACCAGTTATGTCAATCCTTCCACAAATGTGGTAAATCTTCATATTAAATACAGATAAATATCTAATACTAGATGTACCTACCATTTCATCTGAAGCTGCCAACACAGACAAGTTGAAGTGGTGAGAACTGTCTGCAGCTGTGGGGCAGCTGTCGGCGTGACAGGTGACTGTCACCTGCACCTGGACAGGTGTGAAGACTCCGTTCCACAGGTACCGCTGGGATGGGTAGAACTTCAGGAGAGAGACACTGAACACATCTACAGAACACAGGAGTGGCATTTAGCAAAAAGGTATAAGGAAAATAGTACAATTATAACCAACTCTCTGCAAAACTTTCAAATTGATACTTTGATACAGATCTCCGACATTGCAGTCACCTAGGCCTGCCACTTAGGCAGCAGACCAATGATGATTAGAGAAAAAAAAACATTATTATATTGAACAGAAAGATTTTGCAACCTAACTTTTTTATGCCATAAAAACAGGCTACAAGAATCAGTACATTAATGTAATATGGTACTGTGCTGCAAAAATCGAATAGTAGGTACAGGTCCAAATACCTAGTGTGTGTGTGTGTGATCAGTAAGAACCGGTGCTATATCAATATCAAATTAGTGAATAGCCAGATAGTGTGACAGTGTTAACTACACTGAAAGATCTGTTTTTAATATGTATTAGTTTCATAACTGCCTTAGCTCCCTCTATAGTTGTCAATTTGGTCAGGCTTGTGTCACTACTGAGGAAGACCAGAGTGATTGGTCGAAAGCTCTTAGATGAGAACATTTACCTTTGTGTTGGAACAAAAGTTTTAACTTCAATTTACGAAGTTGAACACAGATGAACTTTCATTATAGTTAAAGACATTTTTGTGGAAGCAACTTTACCTTCTGGACACGTGAGCTCCACTGGTTCATTAGTCACTGCAATGTTGTTGTTCTCATCCAGTTCATGAGCTGTGTTGTTGGAGTCCAGTTGTGCAATGATGTAAACCCAGCCACAGTACCTACGGTCTACATCTGACGGAATGTGCAATCCTGTTGGGAACATCAACATGTAGATTACGATTGCTGGAACATTGTCTCAAATGAAGGTTGTGTTTCGTACATTGATCTTAAAAATTGTGGTAATCATATCATTCAACTAATCAGAGGCATGCTATTTGGGCTGCAAAAATCACCATGTCATCTGCAATCCACTGATTACATTGTTTGCGGTGTTCTAGCCGGGTTGGGGGAAAAACCTGTCCAGTCTGGACTGGTCAAGGGGGTGGAAAAACCTATAGCTATCCAGTCTGATAAAGGGTCTGCATGGGGTCTAGGCTTTATTTTGATAGAAAGTCCAAATAGCCTCCAGGGATTTTTCTAGAAAAATTTAGCATGAGGGAGCAGATCGCAAGCATGACAAGGAACAAAGCGACCGAGGGGGGATTTTTCAATAAGAGTAGCCACTTAGGGTTCAATCTGGAAATTGGTATGAGGGAGCTGGCTGGTAACATGAGGGACCAGAGCGGGGCCCTTATTCCCCTGTTTAGAAAAAACCCTGGCCCTCTATTCAAGACACTACTATGTTGAGACAACGGATACGACGTGAATGTGTGGCTGCACATGAAAAGGGGACACAGATCCATTGTCCATCCTTTACTTTCATGTAACATGTACCTGCAATTAACCTTCTGGCAGGAACTTGCAATAAACTTCCTATTAAAAGTTAATAATATCAATGATGCAGAGCCTGTGATTCGATTTACCTGAACCTGTCCTTGTTCTTCCGCTCAGGTCCAGGCGGTTCTCGGTCTCTGTGAGGGCTGATGGGAAGGGGCGGCCGTGGGGAAGGGGGTACTTGAGGTCAAAATCCTCCAGGGGATCCAGCTCTTCATCAAGGGACAGCCACAGTTTGTAGTTAAACGGTTCTGAGGAAAATGGCACAGGTATAGTATCATGAATAAAGTCTGAAAATATATTATCCTGCTTGCATCTCGAAAACACACTCCCCTTTGACCCGCTCAACACAAAAGGCACCACATTATGCACTTTACTCCTTACTGGTAGCCCCTCCCTTCCATACTCTACTAATTTCTGTTTGATACAACTGTTTTCAATTTCATTTTTCAGTCTGGAAATTATCATATTCATTCACTTTACGTTTATTGGTGCACCAGCCACATTCATTTTCATTTTTTTTTTAAGTTCGTTACATTTTGTATTTGTCATTTCAACCAGTAGATTGTAAAATTGTAGTACATGTAGTTAGGATAGTCACATACTATAATGTTAATATCATTTATTGTCATGTTACTTGCAATTTGCCTACAGACAAGAACTTGCCATAAACTTTATATGGGAGTTTACCGTGTAGGGGACAAAACTGAAAGTGCTATTGTAACTTGGATGACTTACTGACAGCTGCCCCGAGGTTTACCAGAACTTTCCCCATCAGAGTGAAGTCCACAGCCACGTTGGGAGTCAGTGGTCCTGTCACAGAGATGGCATCAGCCTGGATGTCAGCTGAGGCTAGAGAGGGGGACAGATAGATTATTCACTATGTTGAATCATGAACATGGAGATCAGCGATGTCATCACGTGTTTCCCTGTCCCTGGTGCTGACTGTGTTTCCCCGATGTATATATCCTACAATATCTTACAATATACATTAATCCAATATCTATGTCCATGGTGCTGAAATGACTGTTACATTGCCCAATGGTACTTAACCTATCACCATCCTCAAAACTTTTAATACATTTTATCAACTTACCACAAGAGCAGCTTGGGCGAAGTTGCAGTGCTGCATGGTTATTAACTAAGATGCTGTCACTTTCAGATACCACCACCACAACAAGGAACCTGTCAAAAAAGGAAAGGTCAAAATGTTCTGAGAAATGACACAGTATATGAACATTTCAAACATTCCCATTAAACTGTGACAAAACGAGTGGTCTAGCCAGCCTAAAATTTGTTTACGTCATGTGAAGTTTGTTTCAAATAACATAATGACAAGGATTGAAATACTGGCTGCATGTGCACCTTAGTGCACCCAAATTCAGAGCTATGCACCCAATTTTTTGTGGGTGTCTTTGACAAATGAAGGAACATTGTTCTACATAATAGTTCAGCTAAAGAATGATATTGCAATTCAATACCACAGCTGCTTATTGTATAAGTTTTCAATAAAGTTTTTTTGTAAGATCTCAGTTCTAAAATGACAAGTGAAAAGTATGTTAAAGTAGCACCCACCTGGCAGCATCACAGTAGGATTCAGGGATGGTGATCTCAGCTGACAGGCTGTGGAACACAAACGACTCCCCCTGCTGTTGAGTAGCATACTGCAGCAGCCTCTCACCTCCACTGTGCAGTGAAGTTTCAAATACAAATAGTTTCATCAGGTTGATAAGGCATAGGATATTGTGATTTTCTTCACACAACCAGTATTGCCTTGTTCCTTGCTTATGTTTTAGTGTCTATCAGCCGCTAGTATGTTGGCTACATATAGCAGCAAGAAGCAGAAGCTCTGAGGAAGGTGTCTTGTAAGCAAGGTAAGAGACAATACTGGTTGTGTAAAACAAAATCCCAATATCAAAAAAAATTATCATTGAACTGTACATTAAATTTGTCTAAAGGATTTGGCCTAAGCTAGGTCTAACACTGAGATCTCATTCTTCTTTTCATATACTAAGTACAAAATTTGAATGATGTATAATAAAAGGACAGCGTCACAAAAACATATTAAACCTTCTTGGCAAAGGTAAATACTGGGTATTGTACAACAAAATGTATACAATAGTAAGGTTGCTAATAGTTTTCACCTGAACTGGATGCTGGTATCAAGGATATAATCCTGGCTGTCCAACTTCTCATCACTGGACAGGGCCACCCCTATGTCGAAGTTGGTTTGTTCCACAGAAGCCGGGACGTTACTCGGGCCCACGTTTGTCACCGTCAGGTCAAAGGTGACATTTGCTGGAGCTCCTTTCCAAATGTAGAAGGTGGATTGCTGGAAGTTTGCTGCAGAAATGCTGTACACATCTGTTGGGCAAAGATAAGCACAAAACCTTCAAGAATAACAGTTACAATAATCATAAATTAAGCAGTTTTCTCAGAAAACGCTCAATGAAACTCAGTTTTAAAATTCAAAATCAAAATTAATGAGTCAGCACAAAAATGTAAATCCATGAATAGTTTCATCTGAGGTTGGTAAGTTACTGAATAAAGAAACTCTTTTTCTACAAGACTTAGTCAACCAAGACAGTGTTTTATTCAGCCGATATTCAGGTAGCCATCTGCCACCTTCTTCAGGGCAATTGTGACTGGTTCACATTGCACTGCAGCACAGCTGTCATTTCAGCTATAGATTTGTTCCATTTTACAATCATACCCTGCAACCATGTAGATACAGGCATCTACATGTATAGCAGCGACACCTGTGCTGTGCAATGTGAACCAGTCAGAATAAAATGCTAGTCTTTCTTTTATGTGTAAAAACAGACTCTTTGTGTAAATTTTTGACGTCTCTATCTAATTTTATAATAAATATTTCTATGTTACATGTAACATTACATATTATAGTAACTATAATTGAGTCTCTAATTGATTGCACTGCTAACCATTTGGACAGCTGATATCTATGGGTTGAACTTTGATGTTGTTGCTCCACAGTTTCTCCTCTTCAGGCTTTGTGTCTCCGGCGATGACACCCACATACCATCGGCCGCAACGTATGGAAGGCAGGATAAAGCCTGGGGTAGACAACAGGGAAATGATGATAACTTTAAATTTGTTGTTCCTGCTGCTATAATATACTCAGCATACACAAGTACATTTGTTGTAGCCTGATGTCCAGCCTTGTTAGCTTTAATCCACTGTTGTTGGCTGGGTAGCAGATCTTGGGAAGCGGACTAAAGCTAACAAGGCTGGACACCAGGCTACATTTGTTGTACATGTACCTGTTTAATTAACCTGTCAATGTATGGTAGTTAAATGTAGAATTACAGCTGCATAGAATTAGATTCCAATTTTATGGTGACAAAGCAATTCCTTAAGTATGATTTCTGCAGCATTTAGCAAAGTTTTAAACAAAAGTAAGATCACGCTAATTTATACATAAGATGCAACAAACACAGCAAAAGTATACTATCGGCCTCTCAAGAGTCAGTCTGACCTTTTCCATGGTCAGATACGTCCACAGTTGCCTCTGGCATGATTTCCTCTTGGATGACGTCCATTTGCATTGAGGTTTTTGTATATTCAAGACGCATATCTGTCTCATGGTCAATCACCTAAAAAATTCAAAAATACAAAATTTTTAATATTCAAATATTTTGCTCTTACAAATACTAGGCAAGGATACATGCACAAGACAAAATCAGAATGTGATTAAGTAGTATTATTGACAAGTGTAAAATGCTATTATTAAGATACTGAACTACACTAATTTTTCTCTTATGAATATTAGGTAAGGATACCTACAAGACAAAATCAGTCCTGCATGTCACAAGTAGTAATTTTGTAAATGGTATAACTGTAACTAGACAATTTACGAACTACAATTTTTTTTGTTGATTTGATTACACATCTGTGTGCACATCAATTTTTATCTGTTTCCCAAGGACAAAGAGTTTTAGACCATACCTACAAAAGGAGCGAATATATGTCATAGTTGTAAAAAAGGGTATTGGAAAATGATACTAATGTCATAAAAGGCCAAAATCAGGAAAAGAAGAAAATGTGAAGAAATGAAAATGAAGAGTCTATTATTATAATTGCCATACCATACTCTGTGTGTTTAGGCATTTTAACCTTTATGACCACGTAGATTTCATAATGAAGGAAACTTTTGTGCAAAACGTTTTTTTATTTGCATGCTCGCATCAGTTTTGGGGTTCCCATGATGTCATTCATATTATTAATCAAATCAACATGGCCTTACGAGTACTAGGTAAGGATATATATAAGACAACATCAGTCCTAACTTGTGATAAGACCGTTAGTGGTAATTGTGTAAGTCCCACATACTGGATTTTCAGACAGGTAAATGTCCCAGTCCAACATGTATGCGGGAATTTCTTCAGGTCCAGCATTCTTCACCTGATTTGATAAGAAGAAGATTACAATCAGAACAAAATGAAGATCAACATTCATTTGTAATCTTTAGACATACCACAAACTAGATTCATATTAAACTTTATGACAAATGTAGGGGGAAACTAATCGGAGACTGAAGTTAATGTGTGGCAGCTAGACAGGTACTTACATATTAAAGATTGTATATAGATTTTAATATATATTGAATTACTGTGGAGTTAATGCTGTTAAACAAATTCAGAAAAATGATGAAAACTATGTTGGTAAAATCCATATTCATTTTGAATAAAGTATATCGATCCAACACAAAAGGAAACACCATCGATTTTCGGTCGAACTCGTCAACCTACATTTCAATATTCCACCATCATAGTTCAGAGAGGGTTGCTGGGCCCTGATGTAAACTGACTCTTTTTTGGATACAGAGCAGGATGCTTTGTAAAGGGGTGTGAAGGAGGCAGTTTACATCAAGGCCCTGATCAACCCTCTCTGATCTGTGATGGTGACAAAAGCCACTTTGGATTCACTCCTGACGTCATCACACTTCTGGCTTTTGGAAAGTCAGCGAAGTGAATCATATTACACAACATACATTCGATGAAGGTTAACAATGTGGACCAAAAATCAATGGTGAGTTCCCTTCTGTGTTGGATCAACATTAAATTTTATCAATATAGTCCACAGATAAAAATCAGATTACCTGCAAAGTGTACGGAATGAAGGACGTCTTATCCTCGGTGTAGTCAACTCTGCCCATGAAGCTGAAGTCTGTCACAATTGAATCTGGTTCCTCAGAGTCTATAGAAAAATTTGATAGCAAATATTGACTTAGAAATGCAAGTAATATGATGAACTGTATTGTATAACCATTAGCAGCTACATGTACAAGGATTTCAAGGCAATACATTTTATGATTCCTATTTCCAACTTGTGCATTATTGTCTTACAGTTACTTTGCAGATCTGTATTCTATACAACCATAATATTATAGTCCCTCAGCGTAATACACACAGCTTTGTAAGAGATATTACAAAATTTGAAATAATTCATTTTTTTATTGTTTTTCACAAAAAAAGACAATACAAAGGACAAGCATGGCACGAAACACAACACAAAGTAATTAAAACTTTATGTTTTTTTAATATCTTTTGTGGATACATTTAGCCCTGCATTCTTTTAAATGAGACATGTTTTTTCATACCTGATGAAGTAAAGAAATAGAAATGAAATGAAATAAAATTAACTAAAGCTGTTATCCTTACCTAGCTGACAGTTGACTGGCACCAGTAGAAAGTTATTGCTCATTGAGTTATCTACTAGGCCAAGAGATGGACTAGGCTGCACTGTGATACGGAGGTGGTCTACACTCGAGCAGTCTCCCACTTCTACAGTCAACTCTGTCAAGATGATCATGTCAACAGTAGAACCAAGTCCACTGAATCCTCTTTCTGCAAAGAGAATTACAAGTCTTAGAAAAAATGTTATCTAGAAAAAGTGTGATTAAATGTTGTGATCTGTTTTAAATGGACAAAGTAAGAAATGATGAATCAGAATGTGTGGCAGTATGTTTCAATATCATATTATTCAGAATATTTTAAATTTTCCTGCACTGAAATTGCATTGGATGCCTTAAAGACTAATTTAAAAATATCACCTACCCAGAGTATTGGCAGGATGGATTATGCCATCTGTCCAACTTCCATCTATTGTTGTCAGATTGGAAACTGTAGATAAACTCTCATCTACAAGTTCAACCTGAAAGTATTGACAGCAATATAATTATTATCATGAGTTTGCTTTTTTAGAAACTTTTACGGCTCTCAGTGGCAAATGTGCAGAATCTGATGTTGGCACATTGACGCACCAAATCAGTAAGTATGTTTTTGGCACACATTTACATTGTAGATAGGTTAGCCTATTAAGAGGCTCGTTGGGCATCACTCCACTGTACAGGGAGGGAAGTCATGTAAAGTGCCTTTCCCAAGGGCACAAGATCAGGGCATGGTGAGTATCAAACTCAGAACCTATTGGTTCCAAGTCCAACGATGTAACCATTGTGCCACCGATGCCAACACATATCAGCTCAAGTAATTCATTTATCAATAAGTACATGACATTGTACATAATTTGTTAATTGTTTATTGACTACTTATGAGGGCAAGATCTAAAGGTAATTGGGCAGTGCCTTTCTGTACAACACTCCATACAGTGTAATGAATTGTCAGATCAGCACATAGAACAGCACCTGTGCCAAACCCGTAATGTATTGTGCATAGCACTTCGGCAGAATTCGCGTAATAATATATCTATCAAGGTTAACATCCCTTCTATAGCTTCCAAAGGTTGTCTTGAAAAAGATATTGTCTCCAACAGTCAAAATTCTGATGCAACGTTGACCAAGCATACAACGAAAACTGTGAAAAATTATGGTTCCATCCTGGTGCAGTATGTTCTGCTGATGTGCTGATCAGATCAGATCAAATCAAACTCGTGTGATGTAAACTGACCTGAAAGAAAAAGTTGTCCCCCAGATCCAAAGGTGGGATGTTGCAGTCCTCCATGCCACAGGCCACTTTTACAGCAAACTGCACTGGAGATGCCACTCCCTCCACCAGCAGGACTGGTCCATTGTCGGGCAAGGGGGTCAAGGAGGCAAGGCTGAACAAATCTGGAGAGGGGAAAAAACTTTGGTCAAGACCTCGGAAAAACAACACATTGATTCTTGATTTGACTAAGCATATAAGCACCTGTCATACATTCAGAAGCTTTCTCCAAACATAAGCCAACCCACACCTAATTTTCTATACAAATCGAATTTGAGTTGAATTTGAGTCAACTTTGACTGCCAAACATGACCTACTCCCAAACAGTAGCCAACCATGGCCGATGTCCTATCTGAGGGACGTCCCTAACCAAAGCTAGGTAGTACTCATTTTCACCTAATCGATGAGTCAAGTAAGAAAAGTTGTGTCAAGTGCCTTTCCCAAGGGAATGGATGAATGACATGGCAGGATTCGAACCCAGGACCTCTTGGTTCTGAGCTGAATACTGCCGTTACACCATATCACCACACTGTCTTCCACACAACATGTAATTTGTACAGCTGTAACCTCACCATCAGGGCAGACAACAGTGACTTGTTGCTCTGCGAAGTTGTTCAGTTCCAAGGGCTCCTCAATGACATCTTCAGAGTCCAGCCAAAGTATGGCCCAGACAGGGCGACAGTACTTCTGGTCTTGTACATCAAGCGTTATCCTCTCAGTCAGGTCAATGTCCATGCCTGCAAAACAAAACAAAATAAAGAAAACAACTTTTTCTATTCTTTTTCACTTCTTGTTTATATTTGACATTTATTGTAGGCAACTTTTAATACCTAATTTAACTCTTTACAACGTTAAATAGACTAAGTAGATGCCCCTGTCACTTTATACATTTGAGAAATTGTAAATTCAACTAGTATAATTTATATAGGAACATACAAAATGTAGAAAAGGTAGCAAATGCAGAATATGACTCTCAGTCAGTGAAATTACATGTAGTTTAGCATTACAGTAAGTTTCTGTAAAACTTTTACCCGTGCCACATGGTGCATAGGGCGACGCTCGTCTCTACAATGTAGCTCAGTAGCGCTTGGGCCACACAGTAGTGCAATCACTACAGCAAGGCGATTTTGGTATTGGACAGGTAATGTGTTTAACTACGGTAACCAAACTCTTTCCAAAATGCTGAGTGCTAAGCAGAGAAAGCAGTATGAACCACTTTTACCATGTTTAGTAAGACTAAGGCGGGAATCAAACTCACAACCTACTGAATGCAAGGCCCACCCACTTGGCCATCAGTGAAATACATGTATTATTTATTATATCATCATATCATAAGTCAAATATCACTCCCATATCTACACACCATGTGTGATGGCCATTGTGTTGTTGAAGGTGTCGATGGCCAGGTCATCTTCATCCCAGAAGCGATCCAAGGACAGGTACAAGGTGTAGACAAACTCGTTGGCTTGGATGGTAGGGGCGGAGGGATCTTTGCTGACAGAAGCAGTGATCCTTGCCAGGATTTGGCCATTTGGATGAATGACTTCAGGGATATGAAGCCTTTTCACTGCCAGATCACGATAATCTACGTGGAAAGAGGCAGATATGATTATTCATGTTCAGCAGAGCAGAGAACGATAAAAAGGCATGCAAATAATGATATAATTAATATATATTATTACATCATAATAATAATAGTTGTTCTTCAAGCTCATACACCAGCAGGTGAACCATTTTTGAACTTGACCTTTAATTCCACAATCCTTACTCAACTACCAAATACATAATATATATTATATATCATGAAGATTCATCCACAGTTTCTCGAGTTCTGCTGTTCTGCTGTGTTTCCCTGAATGGAGGTGGTCTGCAGGGTCTGTATGTATATTAAAATATACATACAGACCCTGCAGACCATGGCCACTCCACCAGGCACCCCCCCCCCAAAAAAAACATTATTACCTTCTGACTTGTCAAAGGTAATAATTAAATAAGACTTCTCTCTTCTCTTCTCTTCAGTCCTAAGAATACTGAACAGTGTAATCCCATCTAGTATTGAAAGCATCTTTTCCAAATTTCCAATTTCCATAGAAATTCATGATGTTTCTAATGTGTAGGAACAAAGCGTAAAATTTTACAACTTGAGGTTTGCACGTAGTGTTACACATTGTGGCATCTGACCTTCCTCCACACACAAGGCAGGTGGAAACTCCACAGGAATGACGTTGTTGTCTATGACAGTTTCCTGCTCAGGCACCATCGGTCCTTTCTGTACCCGCAACAGGAAATGCCTGGTGATGGAGCAGACCACCTGAGGAAAAACGTTACAGGAGAGTTGTAACAATCCAACAGTGTAATTTCCTTCATCATTTTACTCTTCATTTATAGTCTTAGACTAGAAAATAAAATTAATGCAAAGTTGCCAAACTTCCAATACAATTTCAGGGCAACAAGTCAAAACAAAATATTCTGAATGAGGAATCACCAGGGTCCATAATATCGCCACCTTGAGAAAAAGTGTGCTTAAAGATATTTTTACTGCAACATACCCTAGGTATGTACATTTGAGGTGTGCAGGAGTGCATACCATGTTGCATTAAATTTATCTTAAAGCACACTATTTCTCAAGGACAAGGTGGCGATATTATGGACCCTGGTGATATTATGGACACGGATGTGCACCACTTCAGCCATTTCTCATCACATTTTTGTCATCTCGGCTATTCCGAGATCAGGGTGCGCCAATGGCATCGTGCATCGTTATGTCATTCTTACTCTGTATTTATCGCATTCTGTTGACATTTATCAAACTTGTTATGCTAGAACAGTTATTTTCCAGACAATCAGGAAGAGATTTGGTGTGAAGATGTTCAAAACTTATGCTATGGCCAATTTAAGACCAGAAATTGGCATAAAATCTACATTATGCTGTTGCACTTGAAAAATGCCAGTTTTTGAAATATGCTTTTAAGTAATTTGGGAACAAAAAAATGGAATAAAAAGATTTGCAATATGTTCAGACATGCTCAGTCTGATATGTTTTGCAAAAAACCTGATGATGATTGGAAATTTCTCTTTTCTACAGCGCATTTATCAATATGTTGTACACGTTATGTAAAATTCATATTAAATTAACACATTGCAATTAAATTATCTCCCTGTACTAAAAAGGATGGTGATAGAACTGGCCATTTTGCATGTTATGCAAGGTACATCCATATATGACACAAAACATGTGTTTTTATGTTGCTTGTCCTTTGGGTTAATATGGCTGGTGTAGTGTCCGTTGCTCGGTAATAACTTAAAATAGAAAAGCTGTGGGTGCATATGATTTCAGGTTTTGAAACAGCTGAAGATGCTGACTTAAAACACAGTAGCTATTTCAGTCTATTGCTGTAATTATATGAAATACATTTGTACTAGTAATGTCAAAAAACCTCAAGGGTGTAGTGTCCGTTGCCATGTAGTGTCCGTTGCCAAGTATACCATATAGGTACATTAATTACATTTTGTTGCAATTTTTGAAGTAGTTTTGTCATTTATGACATAATTATGTTATTTCTGTAGCATATTGTCAATCCCTAAATGACAGGTCGTGCGAAATTTGGTGTTCTTGTCATGTACTTGATTTTTTAGAGTCAGTTGCCGGCCACATCTGAAATGAGTGGGCTAAGTTTGGAAGAGCACAACTTTTGAACCAAACGTCTCTATCCAAAAATTTAAAAAGTGCAATGTATGGCAACACCTCTAGTGCGATTTTCTGCACTGAAAGTAGAAAAATATGAAAAACTTGAAAAATTGGCCCAAGTGCAACCCTTTGATGCACCCTGATCTCGGAATACTTTTAGTGTTGATTTAGCTAAAAAAGCCATATTTTTTTAATACAGGCCATAAATACAGCCTGAGGAGTAGCTGGAACCAGCCTACGATTAAAAAAACATTCAAGCAATTTCTGACAGTCAGCAACATCACATTTTTGCTTCACAGATATCAGTGAGCTATTAATAATGGAATAGGATTGACTCAACTTAATACAATTTAAAAGAAGGACCAGAAAATTTACTGAAAATCCAGTTTTTTCACCCTAACATTGGGAATATTTACATTTGTACCTTTGATGATAAAATCATTTCTACAGGAGGCTGTACCTAATGGAGGTTGTATATAAACTAGAATTTTATTTGGATGTGTATGATGCAAAAAAGTAGACTCCTTCTTCACCTTATCAAACATGTCGCCTCTGAGAGAACCCTTCACCCCCCTCAGATGGATGGTTTGTCCTGCTTTGATGGGCTTGTAATACTCCACTGGCAGAGTCCACCCGTCTAAGGGACTGAGGTTGGTGTCCTCTCCGTCCCTGTACATTCTGTCATTGCTCGCATACAGCTTGAGGAGGAAGTTCTCTGAGTTTGGTGAAGCTGAAAAAAAAATTCACAACCTTTTTGATATTTGGCATCCAAAAGCCTGTCTTCACACAATATTGTGCATTTTGTACATTGCACACTATATCTTGCATTCAATTCACAAAGAAATGCACTAGGCTCTGGTGACAGATTAGATGTCTGCTGTAAGGTGACTTTTTAATTGTAGAATTGTAAATTTTTACAGTTTTCAGTGACTATTACATACTTATTGTATGTTTACCTAAATCACATACGGTCTGCTCTGTTAATTCTTTAACTCAAACACATTCACATAATATCTAATATGGTGATAGGAGTCTAAATCCCACCTACTATGAAATTGTAACATTATATAACCCAACACCAGTTACCATGGTGACAGACTTCAACAAATCAGGACATTGGCCAGGTCAGAGGTCAGTGTTTGGAGAAGAAGAGGAAGAAACTGAGAAAAAACAATATGTTTTCCTTCAGTAAACATAAAAAAGAAATTGACAAAGGCATGTGTCTCACCTACTCCCAGGTCCCTGGCACCCCGGTACTGCAGCAGTACATCCAGGGTGACCTCCAGACTAGAGTCTGCCCAGATGTACCGCTGTACATTAGGGGGGTTCAGGTGGAGGGTTGCTCCTATCACGTGGTACAAGTCTGTACACAACATATAGGACTTAGTTACTTAGTTTATACGCTCCATCAAATAGATAAATTCAATATTTATGTTAAAATCTAATAATAGATAACCCTTACTAGTATGTACAATGTATATATATATCCAAGAATGTTTAAATAAAAAACAATATAAGTTATACTTCAAACTCAACATGTTGATTTCTCTGAATTTCTATTACCAATGAAATAAATATTCACTGCCTACAGCAATTATTGTTTGAGTGTGTGTATATAAATAACTTTGAAACTAAGAGATGTACCTTTCTGGCAGAAACACTGGATGGGAATGGTGAGTTGGTTGTTGTTCTCATACTGCTCACTCAGTATGCCATCTGTGAAGCACAGTTAACTTCATTTAGGAGTCAGGAACAACATCAACATAATGGGAAACCACAATACATTCCAATACTTTAGCTGCAGCTATATGTGATACTTGTTTAAAAAAAACTCTGTATTTATTTACAACATACATGTACAGGTACAATGTGCATGTATCAAATCATTAAAAGCCATTTTAGCATGTGCTAATTCCATGTTGTGTGCTGCTTGTACACCTTCAATCTTTCATCTGCAAAATAGCTTAAGTCTGCAAGACATGAGTCAACCTATCTACTGTATTACTGACACATCTGAAAAAGTTATCAGAATTGATACAATGACTTCACCTGCATCGACCACCACAATCAGGTAGGTGTCCCCACAGTACTTTGTCTCAGTGCCCAGGGCAGGGATGGTCAGCTGATGTCCACTCAGGTCGAAGGTGAAGGACTGGACAGGGTCAGCGTCTGGGTCAGCGGCCTGAGGAGCAGGGCCCAGTACCTGGTCCAGCTCAGACATGGCAGTGTCTTCAAACATGTAGGCAAACTAGAGGGAACAATGAGTAGTACAACATTTTATTGACAAAAGTTCAAGAAGAGAGACAGGCCTTACACTAATTACAGGGCTTGAAATACTTTTTTCTGCATACCAGAAATACCAGAAATACCTGCGAAGGTGCATTTTGACCTGCACTATATACAATGTATATAAGGTGTATATTAATGATATTATGCAACCAGTATTTTGAGCCCTGGCTTACTTATATCTACATGTAAGTATGAACCAGCACCATTACAGTGTATATTGCACATCACAGTGAAAGCAGCACACTATTTCAGCACTATGGACAGAGATAAGTCTTACTAAAAGAGTATCACTTCTGTTAGTATTCAATCTTTTCAACAACAAGTAAGATTTACTAACTTAAAGCCTGTTACAATCCCTACCCAAGTCATGCCTGCCCAAAGACTTCTACTTTCTCTGCTTAGCATTCAGTATTTGGGAAAGAGTATGGGAGTTAAACACACACAATACCAGTGGACTAGCTGTAGTGATTGCACAACTGTGTGGGCTACAGAAACGGAGATGGGCCATTAATGGTGTAGGAAGGAACTTTTTTTAACATCTGCAAAACTCCCAGCACCCACCTCAAAGTCTGTGTGGTCCACTGTGTCGTCCTCAGACAGGTAGAAGTTGATAGAGAAGGGGTGAGCGCTGTAGTTGTACACGGTGGACCCCGTGATCACCGTGTCCAGGATGAACACAAAGTCCCGCGGGATTCCCTCGTACAGGACACTCTCCCCGTAGATGTTACTCAGTTGCAGCAGCCTTGGAACAAGGTCGATGGTGTCTGAAGGTCAGAGAAACATAGCTCAACATGACAATGTTTCTAATCATTCAAATCCATCCTTGCTGGACAGGTACAAATTAGCAATTTAGTTTTACAAATTTCTTACCACGACTATAAAATAGATAAACTTTAGTATTTTGAGCCAGTATTTTGAGCCCTGGCTTACTTATATCTAAGTATGAACCAGCACCGTTATATTGCACATCACAGTGAAAGCAGCACACTATTTCAGCACTATGGACAGAGATAACTCTTACTAAAAGAGTATCACTTCTGTTAGTATTCAATCTTTTCAACAAGAAGTAAGATTTACTAACTTAAAGCCTGTTACAATCCCTGCCCAACAAGCAAAAAGCTAGGTTGCCTATCAATATTTCAGGTTGCCATCAACACCTGGTTCAGCTGTTTAATTTGGAAGGCAACAACCCATTATAGCCAGGCCACCTGTAAAGGTATTGCTAACATGCTGGCCAAGGTGGGACACAGTTTATTTCAGAAGCTGTAAGCTAAGCTGCTGTACATCTTGAAAAAGGTTAAAGTGTATACAATCTTGCATAAAAAAGTCTTGTGTGCCAGGCAACCTGTGGTCTCAAATACATTATGTACGTCTTGCACAGAAAACATGTCTTGTCTGGTAAGAGTGGAACCTTGCTAAACTTTTTCCACCTCAATTGCTTTCAATATCATTCATCCTTTCTGAAATCTGACTGGAGTTGAAGTTGATGACTTACCCCTATTGCAGTCAAGTACGTCTGTCCAAGGAATGCAGACTCCATCGTTGGTACTGTCCTGGTCACGGATAGGTATGGGCAAGTTCTCTCCTTCGGTATATCTGAAACCAGAAAGGCATTGTCAGGGTTTCAATATTTCAAAGGACGTTCTACATCTGAGAGAGCGTCCTTGATATTTCTTATTCAATGATGATTCTTGCCCAATTACTTTTTTGTACCCAGTGTTTTCAAACCAACAAAAGATTTACAAGTCATGTAATGTGAGTGCAGTCAAAAAGCTCTTTTCAGGATTGTCTGTACAACCAAGATGTGAACTTGCAGTGAGACTAAGGAAAATCATTGTTGCATTACTGTAACAGTTGTGTTTCTGGTTGCAGAGTGCATGCGTGTGTGAGTGGGTGCGTGTATGAGTGAGTGAGAGTGAGTCAGTGAGTAGTCAGTGAGTCAGTGAGTACCGACCTGACACAGATATACTGGGCCTGCTCACAGGTTGCTCTGGGAATGTTGATAGTCGCCATGGCTGACACAATGTCAACAGTCTGCCCTTCAACAATGTCGCCTGCCAGCACTCTCTCATTTTCTACACCGTAAGTCACCACAGCCGTTAAATCTACGTCGCCGTCAGTGTCCAAAGTGTCGTCCTGCGAGACCCAGAGTTCTAGCCCCAGGTTCAGCCTGCCGTCACCGTGGGCCAGTAACGGACGGCCATTGTTGACGATGGACAGGCCAAAGGTCACGACGGCGTCGGTGTCTCTCCAGACTAACCTGGTGTTGTGAGGTTGGAGAGTGAAGGAGTCTGGGACGACGGCTAGATCTGGTGGGAGACAACAGAACACGATTTAGATACAACATTTTGGATACTAGTATACAGTACTCTACTAATACATTCAGAAACGTACCACGAGGATACTTAGTGAAAGTCTGAATCCTTGAAGGATGGAATATCAAGTTTCACAATTTTAGGATAATATTACTGTTGTCATGGAATGCAACTTTAAACTAGGCATTCAATGTAATTTCAGGGACGGCAAAATAGAAAAATATTCTAGATGAGGAAGACTTAGTGATATGTACTCATCGTCTGCCATTTCCTTGCACATTGTTTCTTTCATGATTTCATACTTGAAGCATAGCACAAAAACAAGCTGCCTGAGGTGTCTCTTTATTTTTGAGGATGTCAGCCATAAATAGCCTATGATATAAAATAAGCAACCATTTTCTGTGGTCCACTGTTTATTGTGCTTGTCGAAAAGAGGTACGGAAATTTTCCCGGTACAATGAACCTGTAAATACTGTATACAATGTCTGTCTTCTCTGTTGAAACCAGTGGAAGATTAGCTCTTCAGTGACCTAAAACTGGATTGAGATCACGTTCACTTACCCCTGTCACAGTTGGTTCGAGGGTTTTGCCCTGTGTTCAGCTCAACACACCCAGTGTGGTCGTCGGGATACTGGTCATCAAAGTCAGGTAGGGCTGAGTTGTTGTAGCTGATGCAGATTTGCGCAGTATCAGCACACAGACCTTCTGGGATTTCAAACACTGCATGCACCCCTGAAGAAGAAGAAAAAGTTAATATTTTATTTATTAGACTGAGTCATTATTTGCAAAATCATGCCAGAAGGCCAATAATATATTGCTTTAATTTACAGAGTCAAAGATACATTATCATCATTATGATACAATACAGTAATAGAGAACAGACAGGGGAGTCTGGCTGCAGAAGGTTGTTTCTTTCCCAGCTCGGCCAGTCAAACTTCAAGGTGGCAAAACTCCCCTGGCAAATATTAGAATTCCTATATAATGGCCAGCGTAGTTAGTCTGGTAGAGACTAGCTTTGATACAAGAGGGGTTCAAAATGGTAGAAACTATGTCACATTTCGTCAAATGTGTTGAGTCAACACCTGTACATCCTCATACATATTATGCCAACTCCTAATCAAACTACATTTAGTACATGTATTAGGAACATATAATAAAAATTATCAAACACCTGTAAACTCTGTGAGAGTGTTGTGAGCTAAGGCCTTCCTTCCATGGCCCTGCTCCTGACTGAAGGACACCTCAGTTTCCACCACTTGTAAAGTCACTCCATCTGATCCCACCAGCAACACCTGTCATTAGAAGTGTTCTTGAATTAGAAAACAGTCTTTTTAAGGGGCATTGTGTAGCATTTTTGCACCAAAAATTGAAATTTTTAAAATTTACTTCCACTTTTCAACATTATGTATTTTTGAAACAATCTCACATTTCTGTCATTTATGTTTGGCGCTAAAACAGCCCACACGAGGGTCAATCAGTTTATTACAATTGTCACACGATCTTTAGTGATGTCTAATGTCCCTTGCAGTGGTCCACCCAAGAAAAGGCTAGGTTCGGCAGGTTTTTGTTGGGTCGGTCGGGGAACAGGAAACACAACTTTTTTTTCCTAGGCCTTAGTAATATCTTTAAAAAAACTGTTTTACACAATAATTCTTTGAATGTGTAAAAGTTCACCTGCAGGGGAATGTTAGTCTGTCTGCCAGCTGAGTCAGGTACCATGGAGCCCAAGTTGGTGACCTTGAAATCAAAGGTCATGTCAGTGGCAACCTCCTCATAGATGACGTTATCAGTCTGAGGCACGGCAAAGTTGGTGACGTCGGTGAACTCATATCCTGGAAAGAGAATTATTGAACTCCTGTGACTTTAAAGAGGGGTACTAACCTTATATATTGTGATAAACATATAAGAAGGCTTTGTTTGTATTGTCTTTTATATGAGAATATGTCATCTAATAAAGTTTTTGGGAGAAATAGTTTTTAAGACAACTGATTATTTAGAAAAACAATCAAACTCTGATAGATGAGTCATCAATGCCTGCTATATAGGGAAAGGATCGGGTGAAAATATTGAATCAGATGCAAATATTTCCTCTGATCGTTGAATTTTTTAATTGACAATTTGCAAGTTCTTTCCTTTCGAGATCATTCATGGTCCATCATAATAATTATACAGTGTATAAATAATGTGAAAATGAAAGTATGCATCTGGAGTAAAATTTATATGATTCTTGTTGGTCAGTCCAAGTGTTTCAGCAAGCATCTCAATCGTGTTCAATGGTTACAACATTTAGGGGCCAGGGGGAAATGCACAACTTTTGCTAGTAGACTAAGCTCAGTTTAATGGCATCACTTTCCACATCTTTACATGTCGATATTTGTCCATCAAAGATGACAGATTGGGCAAAATGTTTGTCCATCATGAGCAGAAAAATTCTATCAAACATCAGAAAGACGGACACTACAGTAGCTGGAACACTGGTCTGTCCATAGGAAAAGTACTTACCAGCTCCATTGCAGGTGAAGACCACCTTCCACCATCCAATGTTGTTCTGAACGGACCCAGACTCGGTTTCCTGGCTGATGTCTGTCAGCTCTGCACCTAGATACACGGACTGGTCACAGAACTTCTTCAGCGTGGCCAACCGGTCGTCAGAGAAGGTGTACTCTCCACTCAGGTCAACCTGTGAACAGAGAAAAATGTCCAGACTAAGTATGATGTACAAAATGACATATAAACTGGTGGACATACCAACTACTAAGTACCAGGTAATACCAGCTCAGAAAAGAACAAGAAATAGTCAAGTACCATGAGAGTTTTCAACCAAGGATTGAATTGTTCAAGTACAGTAGGGGCATCATCATTAGGTAGTTTCATTTCATTTCATTTATTTATTTTACCAGCAGAATACACTCAGGTTACATTAAAAAACCTGTTTTTCAGGTAGTGCTTAAGGGCATACAAGTACAAATACTGACAAACATTATACATTACAAGAAACAGACAAGGAACAGGCTTTAAACAATGTTTAGAGTTAGATGTTCAAGGGTAAGGTGTAAAAAGTCGTTTAGGTGTAATGTAGCCAGCTGCTGCCGCGCCACGTGCCTGCGAAGCTGGTGTGTTACACCAAAGAGTGGTTATACCAGCTATATAGATACAGAGGACTAGAGTTAGATAATTGTATGTACAGTCATGCACATTGGAGGGATTTCTTAGCTGGAATTTTTAAACCTGCTGTGTGAGACAAACAGTGTCAACAAAACAGAAAAAAATACTTACTAATAAGATAAATCCCATAACATACATCATACAATCAGTCATGTATATCATTATGATAAATCATATAGTATCAGTTAAGCTGTAAGGTGAATAGAGTGTGTAGTACCTAGGTACAGGAACAGGTAATTACAGATACACGTACCTGTATCTGAGCAATTCAACAAATCAATTTTCACTTGTTCTTCTTACCTCCTCATACCCTGCACTGTAGGCAGCTTGAAGAACACTTTGTTGCTCAGCTGTGTAAGTCACAGGGTCCAGCTCCTCTGCATCCTGGTGACTGGTGCTCATCTCAGGAGACAGGAGCAACTTGAACCCAAAATGTGCAGTGCCTATAAATGTGAAAAAAAATTCAACAATCATGTTTGAATGTGACCCAAAAGATGTTTGAATGTGCCATCACTGAGAGTGTCACCCTGTTTAAATCTATGATGGAAAATAAAAATGAAAATAAACTAGAAAGGCCGACATTTGCTTTGGAGCAAATGTAGCGGATGGCTTCACCTCATTTTACGACATGGCAGGGAAAGAAGGAGAAACACAAGAGGAAACTAGAAAGGCCGACATTTGCTTTGGAGCAATTGTAGCGGATGGCTTCGCCATATTTTACGACATAATCAATTTCAAGAAATGGCAGGAAAAGGAGAAGAAGAAACACGAGGAAAAACAATATGTCTTCACCACATAGCAATAATCAATAAACTGACCAGCAGACAGAGAGGCTGCATCTCCCAGCATGATAGCCACAGTCAGGTCATACTGTGCCGTGTCCCCGATGTCGATGGTGTCTGCATCATCAGCAAGCTCGAAGGTGACAACACTGAACTCTTTCTTATCTGAAAAAACAATATAATTATTGACAAGAATACGGGCTTGAGGAAACAATGGGGCATTTGAAATCCTTAAAGGGGTTTTTATTGTGAATTAAAAAATGCTGAAATCTTTTATTGTGAATTACTAGCAATGCTGAAATCTTTTGTGAATTAACAATGCTGAAATCTTTTAGTTTTTGCCTACTACGGAGGATGGCAACCAGGCTAGAAATCTTTTTTATCTGAAAAAAACAACAGTTGACAGGTATACATGTATGAACTTGAGGTTATCTTGGATCATTTGAGAACCATTAGGGAGTTTTTATAATTGTAAATTTTGATAATGTTGAATTGTAAATTGACAATGTATTTTCTTAATTATCAATGTACATGTGTGTACATGTACATGACAATAATAATAATTATTTGTATATTGCACTGTGTGTCTTATTAATTGTATTTGTATGTACCGGTATGCCTAACGTTTTTATTTTCTCCCCTGCAGGGTTGACCCTTAATAATAGTCTATGACTAGACTGTTGTAAGCCAAACTAATAAAAAATAAATAAAAATATACAGTAACTTTTTACCAGAAGTGCACACGTCAGATTGGACCGTGATGTCGACCACTCTCTCATTGTTTCCTTCATCCGTCTCCTCCACCACCCGTGAGTCATCCATCACCACTTTGATGGCACTGTCTGGCCCACAGTACGGCAGGTAGTCATAGATGGGAAGGACAAATCCCTCCGTGTCACCTAATCAATTATAGCGAGAATACACACTTAAGTTATGTGACATTCGGTTGGGTAATACAGTTGGATTACTCTAAAAATCTGTTGTTTTCAACTGCACGTCAAGCTGTTTAGGTCATAATCCATGAATAAGATTAAATCTGGGAGAATTACTAGACTAAGTATGTTTTCTTTTTTACCTTCCTTGGAAAATGACTTGTTGAAACATTCATTGTGCATCTTTCCTAATAAGTAATGACATAGCTTTTCACAGCATAAATGTTCAGAAAGTGCTACAGTGTGTAACAGTGTTAAGGTGCACAAGCTGCCATAAAGTTGCCCACCAAAGTCCAGGTTGGTCCTTGTCTCCCTGGTGTCCTCTTGCAGAAGTGACACCTTCTGTCTGTTGTAGGAGATCCTCTTCCACTGAGACAGAGCTCCGTCATCATCAGTGTTCTTCCTGATGTACAGCTGGTAGGACAGTCCTTCTGGCACCTGCCCCTGCAGCCATCCTGCTGAACCTGAAAATTAACAAGTCCATTGGACACAATTCTCTGTGAAGTATTATGATTAATTTTTGCAGTGTGGCTAAGGTATGAGATAATCTCTTTACCAGCAGGGGTAGCTACCTACATGTACAATCACATTTACCAAATTTCAGACAAATACGCTGACCATTGATGCTCTCTAATGTATAGCCCAACACATAAACCAACATCTGCTCTGAGAAAACCCACCCACAAAAGCCAATGACATTAAAGACCTGTTCCACAACTCTCTCAAAACAGGGTGTTTTCTGAATGAAATATTGACTTTACCAAGTTGAACTTAAGATAACACTACAGTGTAAAAAAAAAAACTATGTGCATCATCAAACTAGCAGATGACAAACTACACACTGATGCAGCAAACAGATCGTGAGTTTATAGCTGCAAACAAAAAATCCATTAACAATTTGCAAGACTATGCCGAAAGCAAAGTAAATAATTTTGTTTCCTAAAGTAAATCTTTCCAGTTTAGAACATTACAATCTGTGAATTCTATGTGAAAGATAGCATAATTATGTCTTTAGCATGAATCTAAGAGAAGGGATTGAAAATAAATAATGAATAAATAAATAAAAAGATGGATTGATGAGAGGGCTTGTCTTGTCAAATTTGAACACATTTTTGACATTCATTTAACTACAACAACCAATAGTTATTGTATGAGAACATCAATAGAAAAACTTCATTTGACCAACCTGTCACCATAATGTCCACGCTCAAGACAAAACCCTTTGCATGCCCTAACTGGATTTCATTGTTCGGGTCCAGTGTGAAATTGGTTGTTGCAAGGTCCACAGAGTCTGAAACAACATTGAAAAATTAGTGACAATGATTTTTTTCCTTACCTTTACCTGTCCTCTGTTACTGCAAAGGCAAACAACTGGATAGACAGCAACAAACAGACAGTAACAAACTCTTATTCCAGTCAAAAGGGTTTACCTATAGAGAATGTATTTTACTTAGTACCATATACATAAGGTGCAGTACATGTATATGGTATTAAAGAAAGTCAAAATCAGTATGACAGATTAAGTCATTTTCACTGAAATTGTATGTTAAAGACTATTTAGGAAAGATACAAATTGTTTTTATTTAATTATGAATCTGTGAGTTCAAGATCCAATTTTCCATAGTGCATTTTTCTACCCCTTCAAAAGATGCACTAATTTTAGAAGAATTTTGTGGTGGAGAGCCTAATGAAAATAGTAACAACTACTTTATTTGGCCAAAAGCCGGACAAATTCCGCCAGACTGATTCCCATAAGGTTGCTGAGATGCAGGAATTAGTACAAAATTAAACTGGACGTCCAGAGTTAAAATGGAGGATGTTACACGTACCAGGGTCTGAGCAGTCCATGTCAATAGCTATCCTGGTCCCTGCCACATTGTTCTCTTCCACATGGTCCTGGACATGGTCATTCCCCTCCACAGACACAAACAAGTGGTCCACCTGGTAACACAGAACAACAAGGCAAATTTATCATCTTGCAGGGCTTGAAAGAAAGGGTACATAATTATGCACCTTAGGCTACACTGATTTAATCTTATGGATGACATCCGTGCGCCAGGCTTTTAGGTGGGATATTTTTGTTGGGTGTCCATGTTTTTCATTGTATGCTATGCGCAGCAAAGACGTGTAGTGTGTGAGCTTTTTAGGGGCGCAATTTTAAAATTCATAATGCTCTCAAACACCATGTTATACTTTCTGCATTTTGAGGTGCAAATTTTGAGGAATTTGAGATTTTTTCCTTCAGTAAACAATCATTTTTGTATTTATAGTAAGGCTGAAGGGAGGCATGTGTGCATGGCAGGGGTTGGGAGTGGAAAAAATATATAGGGCATCTTTAGGGTGTCCTACAAAAAAGTAGAGCGTCCAATTTCTTATCATTTTCAGTACAGGGCATCCAAAAGACTGGGACACTCCCTGACTAAAAGCCTGCCGTGCGCGCGTTCCCACTTATTTTTCATTGACAAATAGATTTTGTTATAACTTGCAGTAAACTTAGCACAATATATGTATCATTTCTTGTTTAACAAGGTTCATGATGTCAAAATTTGAAAATATAGGAATCTTGTTTCTTTTGGCCCACCTTGTTTTTTTTCGCCGTATCACATTAGATTTGGAGTCTGCAGGGGATGTCATCCATAAAATTTACTTGCTATGGCCTAAAAGTCTATGCATATACATGAAGCAAAGGATTACATGCATATTTAGAAACATAATAATCCAGGAAATCGTTTTAAAATCATACACCTTACAAACTCACGTTGGCTTCACAGGCATAACTGGGAATCTCCACCATCCCAGAGACCTGACTGAACGTCACATCATCGCCCTGGTTCATTTGTTGGAACCTCAGATCACCTTCCCTGTCAGGGAACTCAAAGGTTGTGACCACTGGGATGGCTTTATGGCGGTTGAACCTGGACCCCCTCTGTATATAGAGCTGTCAGAGAATAGCAGGAAAAACATTTTAGAGGCATCCAATGAAATTATAGGACAGTAAAACTGCATTTTCAAACTTAGTTTTCTGGTCATTTTTAAAAAGTTGTAGTAAGTTGAATCAGTCCTATCCCATAGCATACTGATACATGTATATGTGAAGCAAAGATTTAATGTCACTGACTGTTGCTTGTTTTGAATGGTAGGATGGTTCTAGATATCTATGTGCATTACCCCCCCAAAAAAGAGGCATACATGTTTGAGGGCTATTGCAAAGACTGTTTTAAGTATGAAATGATGACAAAAATATGCAGTGAAATGACAGTAAATGTCAATATTATACATTTCCTCATCGAGAATATTTGTTTTTCTTTTGCTGCCCTAAAAATGCACTGGATGCCTTTAAATTTCACCTAGCTTGAATTATGCTTGGCATGATATCATAAAAATCAAGTCTATGTTGTTCATCTTTCCTTGAAGATGAGGACCAAAAACAGAAGACATGAAAACTTCAGGAATATGGCACAAAAAAGGTGACCTACTCTGAAGTCAAAGTTTAAGTTGTCAGCAGTGCCTGCACTGAGGGGAGATGTGTGTACATATTCCATCGTGAGGTCAAAGGTGACAGGTGACGGAATGCCAACATGGTACTTCTTATTGGTGGTAAATGATGATGATGTCACCTTGAACAAATCTGTAGTGAAGAAAAAGGAGAAAACAAAAGATCAAGAGAGTTAGTTCCATGGAAGAACAACAGATTTGACACTTTGATAATTCTTTTCAGTCAAAAGACCTGCAAAAAGGCCTGCATATTGTGCTGAATACTAGTACAGGAGTGGAACACTGATAGCTAATGCCACACAGGAAAAACATACCAGTCCTTGTTGCTGAACACCATCCACACACAAGTAAACATACCTGTCCTTGGTGCTGAACACCATCCACACACAGGGAAACATACCTGTCCTTGGTGCTGACACCATCACACCAGGCAAACATACGTGTCCTTGGTTCTGAACACCATCCACACACAGGCAAACACACCTGTCCTTGGTACTGAACACCATCCACACACAGGCAAACATGCCTGTCCTTGGTGCTGAACACAATCCACACACAGGCTAACATACCTGTCCTTGGTGCTGGACACCATCTACACACAGTTAAACACACCTGTCCCTGGTACATGTACAACACACTACACATATAGAGGCAAACAAACCTGTCCTCAGGGTCTTAACATCCATACATTGGATAACAACATAAATCTCACCATGTTCACAGCTGTAGGTAAAACTTGCACTCCCAACATTGTTGAGTTTGTCTGCTTCTGCTATGACGTTCAACGGATCCAGATGAACCAAAATGTACACTGATCCACAGAACCTGGAGTCTGGAGGAACCACCTGATAAAAACAAAGAGACTTTTAGAATTGTGAAATTTCTGTAACAACATTTTTCTATTTAAATCTTTGCCAGATGTGCATTCAGAAATAGTAGGACCTACATGTACATGTAAGTATGTTTCTGTCCATCCACACAAACATTTGGCTGAAGCTTCTAACTTCGCCAAATCATTAATAACAAGTGTAATATGTCAATGAAGTTACAGGAGCTGGCAGTATTACGGAGGACGGCACCCAGGCTACCTAGGCTCCATGGAACTCGCACATTATAGTTTAGGGGTTTTCAGATGATGTCATCCATAAAATTAAGTCAGTGTGGCCTTACCAAGTTGCCTGCATCCAAGGTAATTTGTCCATCTGCAGTGATGTTGTCACTCAGAGCTGACATCTGTGCCGTGATGTTGTAGTGTAAGGGCAGGTCTGATGGGTCCAGGGTGTCATCGTTGGACAGGTAGAACTCCATGCCAAACACGGGGTCACCTGTGATGGCCTCTAGGTCACCAAGTACAACCTGGTAACAGAGACACCAAATTCAAGATCAATTTTTCCAAGTTTCTTTTTTAGCAAATGGTACAGTACCAATAGCAGTAAAACATTCTTTATTTGTAAATAAGAGCTGCATATGCTGCGTACGCCCAGCAAAAATTTTTTTAGTACAGGTCCAAAATACCAAATCACTATTAGTAAGTACCAGTACTGTACATTACTGTACTGTACTATACATGTACATTTACACTACCCTAGTGTCCTCATGCGACACAGAGGTGACAAAAGTGACATCTAGAGGGAGCATTTATACTTAATACACAACAGACCTTTCGGAGACAGCTAGAGTATTGTTTGCAACAAGAAACAATCCACATGGTTCTGTTTTATTTGAAAAAGCATAGGGCCACCTAGTTCTGTCCTGCTAGATTTGACTAAAAATTCTGTCAGGTTTATTACAGTAAATGTTTTTATTGAAATTCAGAAGAACATAATTATATCATCACGTAAATTTGTCAAATTGAACACTGTCAGGTACAGGTACAGGTACAGACCTGTAGCTAAATCTCCGTACCTGTACCTAAAATTACATTTTAGATACGCAGCTCTAGCAGATATATATGACCTGCCATGCATGAAATTATGTTCAGAGTTCTCAAAACTTACATCTGTAATCAGACTGAAGCTGCCAGCCCCGCCTGTGTTAGGATCCGGGGCAGAGTCCAAGGTGAAGGAGTCAACACTGATGTCTGTGACTGGGTCTGACCCTGGAAGTATGGACAAAAAATATGTTTCAAGTCCCTGTCATAACATACAGCCGACACTTTTAACAACACTTTTAACTTTACTGCCATGTACATGTAACTACCAAGTTGAAGAAAGTTATTAACTTTTATGATCATAGTATGATTACTTGTAAGCTTTCCCCTGTAAACTCATGATGTCTGAAGGAAGCCCTGAATGAAACAAAGTAAAAGTATACCCCCAGTACAGTAGTTACCTTTCCCTACATGTAGTTCTGGTCAAATACAAAATACATGACTGTACATACCATAGCAATGAAAAGGGATGGCTCTGAAGTTATTGGCGTCTACTGCATCTGCAATATCCAGTCCTGCTCCCCTCACTACAGCAAACAGGAGATGGCTACAAAATAGGCAAATTTCAAACACGTCATCAGTTAATATGCACCAAATGGTCATGTTAGAAAACAAACTAAGATCAAAGTGTTTAAGGCATGTATTGAAACAATTCTTTTGTATGGGTCAGAATCATGGGTCATGAATATGTCACATTCTAGAAAACTAAACGGAACATACACGAGGATGTTGCGAGTGGTTTTCAATACACCATGGTGGAAACACACTACTAATGAACAGTTATATGGTTCGCTACCAAATGTAACTACAGTAGTCAAATGTCGACGTCTAAGCTTGGCCGGTCATGTAATACGTAGTGAAGAACCAGCCAGTAGGCTTCTACTCTGGAACCCTGATACCTGTAAGAGAAGAGTTGGACGCCCAAACAAAACAGTTAAGAAACTTATTGAAACTGAAACTGGCTTGGAGGGACATGAACTTTTCTCAGTGATGTATGACAGACAGTTGTGGCGAACTAACTTTGTATGCTCCACCTCTACGGAGGATGAATTATGATGATGATGATGAAATGGTCATGTATAATGTTAGAGCTACATTGTATGCTATACAGTTTAAGTTTAAGATGAAACGAAAAAAAAAAGTGCCCCACACTTTGACTACCAGAAGACATGGTACACATAGGTAATAGAGTTAACTTCTTGAGTCAAATAGTAGATCCATGTAAAAAATGTACAACAGTTACTGCAATGTATATGGTGATTCGCCACTGACTCCAGGAAGAATAGTGAGAAATTCACAGCAATGGAGATCCCAATAAACAATAAAACAAGCAAACAGTTACTGGTCCTACGTACGTCTTCCAACACATGTCTGCCGTTGGTGTGAATGTTACTGGGACATCCCTGAAGTGGAGGGAGTTGTCTCTGGCCAGCCCTGCTCTCATCATCTGTATGTGCTCCTCACTCAGACCTAACACAGTCTGGGGCAGCTCCTCATCCCCTCCATCAAACACAAGGTCATCCGACAGGTAAACCTGGGAAAAAAACAAGACAACACGAGCTTAATAAATATTCATAAGGCCACACCAATTTAATTTCTTGGTTGACGGATTTTTCTAGAAAAATAATGGAGCGGGCGAGCGAAAAAAAATAAATTTTAAAATAAAAACAGGCCTAGGCATCGTATTATGGCCTAAAATGGTACGATAGGAGCCACAAAGTCAACACACCAGGCTGGTTCAAAATTTAAACAATGAATTTTAAACTTTTAATGATACCACTGCATTGAAAGATGGAATAACTGTAACAACTAGGATGAAAAGGACTGTTTTCTACAGTTCAGGGCAAAATATGAGCATTTTGCAGTTGATTCTGAATTTTTATTTTTATTTGCAAATCAGAAAAAAATGAAGCGGGCGAATCCGTTAACCAAGAAATTAAATTGGTGTGGCCTAAGGGGAAATAAACAAAATCACTAGCTTTGTTAGAATTGTATAATTCATGTATCTACCCTTGTTGTCTCTTCTTTGCCATACATTTTTCCAGTTACAGTTGTTGAGCAATAAAGTTGATTTGATTTTGATTTTGTAAACCCAGTGGAAGCTACAGTGTATGTGAAAGCTCTAGGTGAGTGTTGGATCTAAAGTTACTTTAAACTACTGGTATGTAATAATTATGCAAAACAAACAAATATACCTTGAGGTGGAAGTTGACCTCATCACCCTGGACGTCAGGAATGTCCCTAGTGCCCATCAGGTTGGTGACTGTGAAGGTCAGCTTGGCATTGACCTCTACATCCGCAGCATAGTACCTTGCAGGTGAAGGGTCAAAGGTCACATCACTAAGGCCCAGTCCATCTGGAAATCAGTGAAGAGGAAGAAAGGTATTCAGAAACAAATTGTGCCAAGTCATAAAAATTTCAACCAACCTTGATATTAATGCTGAAAAAATTTTGCGGGAAAACATGATGATAATATGTTTTACTAACACTGACCAAGATGCTGTTAATTGATTAGATTTCTGGCATAAATCACAAGATTATCGCTATTAAAATGGCTGAGCCACATACTTTGAAAATCAAGATTTGTTAATATAAGCTGTAAGTAATGATTTGCATTTTGTAACTAAATGTTATTTGTACTGTATGCCTTATGTCTGTATGTTTTAATGTCAGGAAAGATTAGATGCTTACAAAATTTATGTTGTAATGTCAATGGATATAAGTATCCAAGTATCCAAGACCCAGTGATACATTAAAAAAAGTTCCAAAGCTGTATATGTCATAAAAAGAAGAATGAAACAACAACTAGAAACTTTAAAATAACATTCGCAATTGAAAGCAAATGCATAATATTTACCTTCGCATATGGTTTGTTCTGTTCATTCTTAATCAAATACATTCAAATACAAATGTATATGGTCAGACAGGAGTCTAAATCCCTCCGGCTTTTAAATTGCAACATGATGTAACCCAACTAGTTAATACCGATGATGGTAACAAACGTCTTGCTCAGGTCATTGACCTTATTCGTTTGGAGAAGAAGAGGATTAAGAAACTGAGAGCAAAAACAATATATTTTCCTTCTGTGAAGGTAAACATAAGAAATACAGCTGACCGCCATCACACTGGAGAAAGATCCTCTTCAACTGAATGTTGTTATAAGGTCGGAGGTCGTCGACACTGGCTTCTTGAACTCTGACCTCTACCCCAAGGTACGTCCAACCACAGTAGTGTCCAACGTATGGATAGTACTGATCTGTATGTAGCGACAATTAATATCTCAAATAAAACAAACTACTCTAACTTAGAATTATTATCAGAAATTTTCAACAAAAAACTGCAATGGGTACCATGATCATGGCATATAGTGTCTGAAGGTAGGTGTTTCACTTTAGAATTTCCTTCCTTTAAATAAAAAACACAGTGCTGCCTGTTCTCTACATATCAGGTAAAATACAGGGACAAGAAGAAACTGCACCACACTGTTCAAAAAAGTACACTTTGACAATTGAAAGGGAAGACAAATTTTACCTGCACCACCCAGAATTTCAAATTTATGTATTGGATCATACTGAAAACCGTTCAGAAAGCATAATTATTAACCAACATTCCTTTTATACTTCATACTATTAGGTACAGTCAATGAAAGAAATTTTAAATCAATATACACCAGCATGACATTGACCAGTACAGGTTAGGTGCAGGTGGACATCAGAAATACCTGCACAACTCCAATTTTACCTTTTATAGTCATAATAATACTAAGGTGCATATAGTCAATCATGTATGCACCCAGTATTTCAAGTCCTGACTAACCTATAGTGAGTGGCCCCTCCACTCCCCCGAAGCTGTGCTGGAGTGTGTGGTAGGTCAGGCCTGAGATCTCCAGGTTCAGCTGTGTGTGGTCTGTGCTGGATGGCTCATGGGGGATCTCTATATCCTCTGGATCCAACATCTGAAACACAACACAAGACATGTCGGTGATGGTTAGACATCATTGAGGTACATGTAATACAGTAAGATAAGCCAAAAACCAGTTATTCAAGCAACTGGATATGATTTTGGAAATGGTAAGACGTTTCAGGTAGCATCTGGGGATCCACTACCTTTCGTCATTGGCACTAGATCTAGAGAGCTTGTACAGAAATGCAGGTTTATAAGCAAGAAAAGACGAGGCAAGACAACTTCACTTTCACATGGCGTGAGTCTGCATTAAGCCCCTGTCACACATTCAAAACACCAAACGGGAGACCTTATTGGTTTGGAAAAGAAGAGGAAACAGAGCAACGATATGTTTTCCTTCAAACATAATAATTACAGAAACGTACGCTGGTGAAGGGTCCACAATTTCTATTGAGAAAAGATATTCAAAACATTAATTCAAAACTGACCTGATCGTGAGACAGGTAGAACTGGTAGCTGTAGCGGTACAGGACAGCATGCCCTGCAGCAGAGACACGTGTGCGCAGGTTGAACACCTTCGGTGTCCCCGCTGTGATCTCAGGACCATCGTCAAGGTTGAAGTCCTCTATGGAGATGTCAACTGTGGGGGAAGCAAATTCAACATTTATGTTCCAACTTAACTGTTCATTAAAGGTTAAAACTGTCTTTTTATCAGTGAAACTGAGGGAAATTAACAAGATTTGATATAACGAAGGGCAGTCCCAGGGGCAATTGTAACAATGTAATTCATTGTATACGTTACATTATGTACATTATGTCATTAAGATTAGTAATTACTAAAAACTGGTTCAAATACTGATGTCTTGAGGCAAAAAGTGGACAATTTGCAGGGAAAGTTATGTACATTGAATCTGGCTATTTATTAATTTACTCTGATTGTCCTGATTCTCATTGCCTATATTTTGGATCATGAAACTTTAAGTCATAATCATAATTGTTGCTGTTGTATTTGGGAGGGCAAATTGTAGACATGTTAATACACCTGTTTTGTCCTCCTTTCCACTTGTATACAAGTTGCAGTTAAATTCAAATACTTTAGATTAGATGAATAAAAAAAAGTTACTGGTATAAAATTTTAGGTTGTAATATCTACTGTAACCATAAATGTAATATCTACTGTAACCATGATATAATATCTACACTAACTGTAACCATAAATATACTGTGTTTAAAATGAACTAGGTACATGTAGTTCTCTGATTAATTTCATATTTGACCATTTGTACAAGTCATATATATTGTACCTGCATCACACATCTTCCTGAGTGGTACAGACACAGTGTGGATGAGGTACCCTGGCAGGGTGCTGTCTTCTGGCAGGACCTCCAGGAACAGGTGTGGAGATTCCAGCTGCAGACATCTCGGGCGACTCAACTCTGGATCTACAGTCGCTGTAGAATAAAAACACATGGCAGTGGTATAGAAATACTGAGTGTTCTGCAATATTGCAGAATGTCAAAATTTTGTTCTGCAATTCAGAAATACTTTCTGCAAATAGTAGTACACAATTGAACCCCTAGACTGATTTAACTAGTATCTATTTTATTCTTTATCTATCTACAAGAAGACTTTTATAGCACAAATCATACATACTCGCTGGGTTTAGTACAACGAAATAGCTTGTATATACATAATACATGATCAAGCTAGAACTAGCACAGATATAATAGTTACTTATTGTAGTAAATTCAACTTCTCCTCACTTCTCTTTGATAGTGGAAAGATAAATACAAACATGGTTAAGTCTTAAGGATCTAGTGATGATGCCCCTACTGTACTTGGTGGCAGCAAGTTCGAGTTCAAGAGTTTTGAAGAACCAATGAGTGACAGTGACACCTTGTTCTCCAAAACAAATAATAAGTTAAACATTAAGTCATGATTTCTTACCTGACAATCCTCTAAGTGCCATGGACTCCCCTGGCTCCAGCCGAGCAGCTTTCTTCACTACATCAGGACCAAAGTCAATGTCAAAGGCAATGTCCCATGCCGGGTCAAGGTCATCATCATCTGAGTAGTAGACCTGTGAAGACACAAGATATAAATTTAAACAAGAAAGGTGACATTTGTGAAGCAAATGCATAATGTTTACCTTCAAATATGGTCTGCTCTTAGACTGTTAATTCTTACTCAAACATTCACATATTATATGGTAACAGGAGTCTAAATCCCTCCTGCTATAAAATTGCAACATGATATAACCCAACACTAGTTAGTTACCATGGTGACAGATGTCTGGTTCAGGTCATTGACCTTACTTGTTTGGAGAAAAAGAGGAAGAAAAAACTGAGCAAAAACAATATGTTTTCCTTCAGAAAATCTGCAATATAGAAACATCAAGCAAGAGAAAAATGCCTTCTTACTCTGAGTTCGAAGTTGGAGATCCCCTGTTGGGTGGTTGTCATGCCCTTGTTGGTGACGGTGATGTCAAATGTCACAGAGAAGGGAGCAGGGATGAGCTTGTAGTCATGGTGGAACGTTGGCTCGGACAGAACAAGTTTGGGGTTTGGGAAAGAACCTGGGAAAAATGAGTCAGCAGTTAGAAGATTCAATGTAAAAATTCTGACAGCATAATCAATGAAAAAAGTCATAATAACAATGATTATCATAAGATTCACAATCAATTACATGTACACAAGGAGTGTTGATTTAGCCAGTTTGAGGAATGCTAATTTCAAGAAAATTTTTCTTGAAACCTTGTCAAAACACTTGGCCTATCATTACTATTATCATATCTACATGAAAACAATCATAGCAGGGCTCAAAATACTGGGTGCATGTGCACCTTAGTGCACCCAGAATTGGAGCTGTGCACCCAATTTTTTTTTCTGTGAGAGCACCAGTGCACCCAAATATTTTCGTAGGTTTACGTATGTAACGTTAAATAACTGTATGACATAAAAATGTAGCGTTATGACAATTTCATGTTAGTATACAGCATATTCTTGACATCTAAGTGTCAAAGGTATACAGGTTTATCCTTACTTGGTGGAGGTGGACAGTCCATGTGTACCAGTGTAGTGTAGGCATTGTTGGCTTCTGATCCCTCCTTGTACTGGCCAATCACAGTGTCCGATGGGTCCGCCTCATAGGTGTCCAGAAGAATGCTCACATATACATCACCACAGAAGTCCTCATATCCAGTCTTTGGTATGAATATTCCTGTAGGAAACAAAAAGTCATATACAAAAATGTACATTGATGAAGATAACCGGGTAAAAGGATACTCAAGTAACAGTTACTTTTATACAAACTTTAGGATAATGACCTATTGGAAAGCATGTGAATAACAACCACCAGCTTTTCAGTACCACCGAGAGGATGGCAAATATTTCTTGTATTGCTTTTTTTTACAATAAGCCACAAAATAACTTTTTAACAACTGAGTTTCTGTAAAGCATACTAGGTTGAATATCAATGCTAAAGCAAGTGTTGTAAGAGAACAAGAGCACATTCAGCATTTGAAATGTCCATAAATTCCTACAAAAGCACCTTTGAGCCCTAAAGTTTTGCAACTGTAGGTTATCTATAGCAATTAATAGTGCAGTTTACATCTAAACCTGAGTCATAATGTACCATGTGTGGAATATTTGCATGGCCATAACAGTCCACATAAAAAAAAGATGCGGAGAACTCTGGCACTTACCAGATGCATCAAATAATGCAGTTTCAACATTAGTTCCATCAACTCCCTCTCCCAGAATACCCCTCATCCAGAGAGGCATGATGTAGGGAACCTACAAAAGAAACAGAAGTTTAATTAAACATCTGTAAAGACTCACTGAATCTGGTTGGTAAGTCACTGAATAAAGGGACTCTTTTTTCACAACCAAGTGGTTTATATATATTCAGCCAACGTTTCGGTAACTGTAACTATTTTACGTTTGGAAATGCATCTTTAGCAATGGCACCTGAACTGTGCAGTGTGAACCAGTCAGAATTGCCCCGAGGAAGGTGACAGACAGTCACCAAAACGTCGGCTGTGAATAAAACAATTGGTTGTGTACCAAGAGTCTCTTTATTCAGAAGAGTACACAAGTTACATACACAAGTTATTTCACATAGCATTGCATGTCACGACACAATACAGTTTGAACTTCATTTTTCAGACTTTAAGAGACTTTTCTATATCTACTGTATGATCAGTGCAGGAAGAATTTCTGATGCTAAGGGCCCTGTCCTTGGTGCTGAAATGTTCAAGGCATCCAATGCTATTTCAGGGCAGCAAAACAAAAATATTCTGGATGAGGAAGTCTGTCTGATATTGACATTAACTGCCAAAGGTTCCCACATTTTGGCATCATTCTTTATTTGAAGCATTTGAAATGACCCCAAAACAAGCCAAGTGGGGTGTCTCTTTATTTTTTGGGTAACACCTGTAAATAGCTACCTGACTGTGATACAAGTAACTGCTTTTCAGCAACATCACAATTTTGCCTCACAGATATCAGTATGCTATAGCAAATTAGAATTGATTTAACTTACTAGTACGTAAAAAGAATGAACAGATTATTGAACATCTAGTTTTCCCACCATGATATTGCATTGGATGCCTTTAAAAAAAGAAGTCTACATAGTGTTTGCAGAGAGTAAAAAAAGCCAAAGAGTTATCATTTGATACCTTGCTTACATGTACTATAGCAGAGATACAATACCATGAAAAGTGACTGAGATGGGGGGGGGAGTTCTATACATTGTAAAACAACACTATCTAAAATAAGACAATCTATCTCAAACTAGAAAGGCCAATATTTGCTAAAACAACAGTTGGATAGCTATTCCCTACTTTATTGGTTAGGATTTTTAATTGCATAATGCAAACTGTTGATTTAAAAAAAAAAAAACGTTCATGCCCCGCATTCCAATGCTGGAGCAGAAAAGCTTGAAATACCTACCAAAACACTTGAATAAAGACATACTGTCAGTATGGAAATGCTTCTGTGCAGGTGTTAATCAAGTTAAATCCCAACAGCCAATCAGCAAGAAATGCTCTGTGCAGGTGGAAATGCTCTGTGCAGGTGTTAATCAAGTTAAATCCCAACAGCCAATCAGCAAGAAGTATAGAGGAAAGCTGCATGCCTATTGGTTGATGCCCTGCATTCCATTGTGATGACTCATGCGGCGGTCATGCCCAGACGTGGTAAACACGGCACACTAACACAGTAATACATTTGCTATAACACAGCCAAAAAACTCAAATAAAACCATTCTAAAAGCCTGTATCACAAAAATTTAAAAAACGCCTAGGGGTATTTGCCCACTGTACCTCCATACCAAATTTCAGGACCTTAGGCCCTAAAATGAAGAAGCTGAATCCATTTAAAAAATGGCAGGAGAAGAAGGAGAAGGAGAAGGAGGAGAAGAAACATCAGAAAAAGCAATATGGGTTCACCACCACTTCGTGGTGTGGTGAACCCATAATAATGTAAAAAAAAAACACTATCGAAAAAGATGATAATATTCTAGAACAATCCCATGCTAGCTTTACCTCCACATCCTTAGCTGAATCAAACTTCTGGTTCTTGGACAAGAAGAACTTGAACTTGTAATGTTGGATATCAGACTGGTGGAGAATCTTCCTGTCAGTAGCAGTCACGTGTATGGTGGCAGAGAACGGGGTGGCCATTCCGGGGGTAAGGGTCAGCATTGACATGGTGTCCACACGAAGGTCCATTATATCTACAAAGTAGATATGAAGCAAAATTAATGAAAAATAATATGCAAAAGCAAAATTTATTAGTATACTAACATATGCATATATCCCTCATGGAAAAACAATATGAGAGAAACAGTAGCCAAAAAGGAATGTATGTGGAGGGGAATTTTGGATCAGGATTTCTAATAATTTTACATTACAAACATAATTGTAGCAATTGAAAGCAAGTCCCCAAACCACGTCTAGTACTGTGTCACCATACTGTATAGTACTTGGATCCTTGTCTTGGCTACAAAAATTATAATCTAGTCATAGTTTTATTGCAAGTTACTGACAAATACAATCATGATTATGATACATAACATATAGTAGATAGGGTGAATGTTAAAATAAGTTAGAGGAATTTTTTTAAAGATATGTCACTCAGTAAAAGTATAACTATGAAGTAAACAACTGTAGCAGGCCAGAATATACCCCTGGCCAGAAAGTATATTCTGGTCAGAGGTATCATATATTCTTGGCAGTTACACCAGTTTATACACAAAATACAGAATGAAAATATAACATAATAGTAAATAGAATTAACTAAATGTGATAGTTTAATGACAATACTTGCAATTTGAGACTGAAAAGAATAATCTGCTTACCACTGCATTGATATTCCATAGGAATCTCAGCCACGTTGTTGTCCATGTAACCATCAGTTTCACCAGTGCCTGTGCCTGTAGACACCTCAACCTGCAACACAATCAATATGCATGTTGGCATTCAGTACTCACAAACCTAAGGCCACACCAATTTCTTGGGCCCTTGTCGTCTTGTCAGACGGTCTACAGCTTCAGTCACTCTCTGCGGGTCTGGCCGGGCAGCGCCTCTCATGGCTGGTACAGCCGATTCTGGCCCTGCAGGCTCTGCCGCAGAATCGGCAATAGTACTCCCGTGTGGTGCTCTTCTCTACAGGTCCCTGCTCCTAGCTTCTGCTTTCCTGCTCTCTCTAGCAGCTTTGAACAGTTCTGTTCCTTTGTGTATCGCTGCTCTCCACTTACTTCTGTCGCTTGCTGCCTTCTCCCAAGATTCAATGGAGAAGTCTTGGAGAGTAGCTTTGCACAAATCCTTAAACCTGAGCTTAGGCCTTCCCCTTGGTCGACTCCCTTGAGAGAGTTCGCCGTACAGTATTTTCTTGGGAAGCCTGTTGTCGTCCATCCTGGCCACGTGGCCTAGCCAGCGCAACCAATTTAATTTCTTGGTTAACGGATTTTTCCAGAAAAATAGTGGAGCGGGTGGGCGAAAAAAATAAAAAAATAAAAAGAGTCCTAGGCATCCTATTATGGCCCAAAATGGTACAATAGGAGCCATGAAGTGACCTGGCTGGTTCAAAATTTAAACAATGAATTTTGAACTTTTAATGATACCACTGCATTGAAAGATGGAATAACTGTAACAACAAGGAAGAAAATGACTGTTTTCAACTGTTTGGGC